TTTAAAGCAATGTTGCTCAGAATTAACAAGGAGTCAATTGACCAAAGGTCAAGGTCACTTGGTCAAAGGTGAAGGTTAAATTTTGTACTTTTTCCCTGATGAACATTTTGTTATGACATTATGAAGCAATGTTGTTCAGAACTTAACACAGAGTCAACTGACCTTAGGGCCAGGTTACGCGGTCCAAAGGGTCAAGGTCAAGTTTTGTATTTTTCACTGAAGAACATTTTGTTATGATATTAAGAAGCAAAGTTGGTCAAAATTAAAGAATAAGTCAACTGACCAAAGATCAGTGTCATTGGTTTAATGGTTAAGGTCATTTGGGTCCAAAGGTCAAAGACAAAGTGGATTTTTGACTTTGACCCTGGCTCTTGATGGAGAAGGTATATAAGGTGAAATAAAACAAATCAAAGCTAACAAATGAGTATTGCACCGGTATTTACATTTCTGTTAGCCAAGCAAATATGGAGGTGGAAGGAAACAAGACTCACATCATAGTACATGTAAAATGTATATTTTGCTTCCTTGCGATTCTTTTGGAAGTCCAAATGTCAAACGCCAAGCTCAGCTATATGGACAGATTGCTTCTTGATGATTATGGGAGATATATATTGCCACAAGACGGGGCCCTAACTGACCTGTCAGTGTTCTAGTTGTTACCAGACAGTGCTTATTGTTACCAGACAGTGGTTATTGTTACCAGACAGTGCTTACTGTTACCAGACAGTGTTTATTGTTACCAGACATTGCTTATTGTTACCAGACAGTGTTTATTGTTACCAGACAGTGCTTATCGTTACCAGACAACACTGCTAGTGGTTGGGAGGTATCCTTCATGCAAGTTTCTATATTTACTGCACATGCTTTTATGTTTACTGCCTGTAATCAGAATAAAGAAAATCATAACAGTATGATTAACCTATTGAAGCCCTTAGAATTCCTGATGTATTTTGACAAGGAAAAGTAAGAGAACTGAAGACCAAGTATAAAATAGATTCAATATTACATTCAAAGACATTTCATGGCAGGTCAGATTTAAATGATAGACATATAGAATTTAGTACATGGAGGTTGGAATGTGTGTAGTGTGAAGGGACTGTTGATTAATGTTAACTTGTTGTTACAGTGCCAGGCCTGGCCAGTCCTACTACAGGGGATGAACATGATAGGAATTGCTCAGGTAACACAAACTATTAACATTCAATTTCCTCATTATGCATTAACTATATTTCTTATCCATACAGTGATGCGTCGTAAGTCTTTTATGTAATGTCATTTTTCCTTTGGATTCTATGTTGATTAACATAATTATTCAGGGCTAGCTCTGGGTCTTGATTAAGTTTCGCCAAATTTTAGTTTGTGAACAAACAGATGCGCGTGATTGCACGCGACCATGAACCAGTGCCCCCCTCCATAATTTGTAAATTCCATTATATGCATTCTAATGTATCCTAGACAGGAAATCAATAATTGAAAAGAATTATATTTTCTGTTTTATGACCAAAAAAACCAACAAAAAACACTACAAATAATTTCTATTTCTACTTATTTTTGTTACATTCCCTGGCCTTCTAAATCCAAACAGGCTGCTCCATGTTGCCAAAGTGCCAGGACGAGAGATTTCATCTGTTAAAAGTAAAAATTAAAATTAAAGGGAGATATTAATATATATATATTGGAGCATATTATTTTAACCAAAACCAAAGGCTGATAATTTTGGAATTTCCCATCCTATCACTAGTTTTAATAGTGGTTATTTATTTCCATATCATCAGTTGATAATTGTCAGTCAAAAAAACAATTTGTCAGCAAAAATGTCAATTTATTCACATCTTGTAAGAACATTGTATATCGGTGACTGAAATCAAAATATCGGCAAATTGTCGTCTCGAGCAGTGTGCAAGAATAACACAATATACACAGAATATGTCGTTTTAAGTGCCCTGGTAATTATATCTTGTTATTGTTTAACAAAATTAAAGAGAAAGTCATTAAAAATATCCTGACTGTGTCTAATGTAAACACACCCGTGCATGTGCCTCGTTATCGCCAGGCATCACTTCACGGGACTGATCTACTCTACTGTAATCAAATTAAAACAACCCTTTTCCCGACCCTAACTTACCTCATTGTTCTCCACAGAACACCCCTCTGAACAAGACAATGTAGCTATAATTGGATAATTGGCGATTTTTATAGCAGGCGGTGTCGTTGTGTGTAGACAGGTGACCTTTAGTTAAAACACAAAAGAGTTACAATACCTGACCTTGCCATTTATCGGAAATGCAGTCATCCGTTACGTTCTAGTACACAGCGATGTCAGGGACAGAAAATTTACCTGTAGCAATTGCTCAAGAAACAGTTATCGCCAGTTTATTCTGTTGTCAACAGTAGCTTTAACAAAAGTTCCCCGTCTGCGTATTCGCCAAGAGCAGTTTCAAATCGCCAATCATGTTTTACTTTCGCCATTGGCGCGAGCGGCGACTGCCGGCGGGATCCCTGATACTTCAATACATATTTTCATGACATCTTTTATACTTTATTTTCAGAAAGTTTTTCAGTATTTTTTGAGAATATTAATTTGATCCCGCAATATAATAATACCGGTACAGTACATTTCACTTAATATCACGTCGCTTAATGTCACTTTTCGGTTATTATCATGTTTTTTTGATGCACCGTTTTTCCTGCTATATAATCTATGCAATTCAATTCTTTTATTATCACCTGATTTTATGTCGATTTCTCTTAATATCACTTTATTTTGGCCACAGTCACAAAAAAAATACAGGTAAATGGTGGTAATGATTCATGATAAATGCCCTGGGGACCTTCTGTCACACCCTGGACGCGTTATGTAAACAATGCCTCGGCCTAACTGGGTATTTTTTACACCTGGCTGACTGTCAAACAATAGGTTACACCTGGCTGACTGTTAAACAATAGGTGACTTACATACTTGTTAACATGATATTCACCTGTGGTTGGGGGAGCTAGGACAGTCTAACATCTGTAAACTTTTCTTTAATGCCAAGTGTGATGTATTCTTTCAACTAATTACAACATGTGTACTATCTTTGATTACACACTTGCAGCAAATATCTAAAGAAATTAACCTATAAAAAGATGTTACTAGCGAAAGAACAGTATATATATGAAGATAAAGGTAAATATTTACAAAGTCTCATGTTTACAATGAATTTGATGCAGAATACCAGCCAAACACTTGTATGCCTTCATCACTACTGCAGTAAACAATCATAATTACGATAGTACTGATCGTCATTTTGCTACTAACTATATGAAATGTAACTGCATACTGAAATGAAATACTAATAATATATTTATTTCTATACTTATTTACTTATATCTATATTTCAACTAGAGTAAAGAACAAGGTTAGTTACAAAATATCAATCTTCTTCGTAGAGCCACATCACTTAGGCATTTGACAAAGTTCACTACCAGTTTTGAGGGCTGAAAAACGTCAGAAAATATGTATTCTGTTTATGTCATGTTTCTGTTAATATCATGTTTTCTCTGACAAATGGGAAGTGATATTAAGAGAAATCTACTGTATATCAATGTGTGTTTGTTTTTAGACAGGAACAGGGAAAACTCTAGCATTTTTGCTACCAGCCTTCATACATATAGACCAGCAATCAGTGTAAGTATAGTACATGTATTAGCACTATTCTTTTAAACTGGGATCTCAAATAGGCAGTTACATTGAAACTTCATTATTTTATTTCAATTTTCAAAATCACTTTCTGGTACTAGTGTAGTTTAAAATTTCCAGAGGAGATTTCATTTTTTATACGCCCGTCGAAGACGGGGACATATTATGTTATCACGTGAGCGGGCGGGCGGTCGGGCGGGCGGGCAAACGATGTCCGCTCGATATCTCGAG